CTGAATAGCTAAAGCAATCCTGAGAAAAAAGAACAAAGCTGGAGGCATCACAATCCCTGACTTCAAAATATACTACAAAGCTATAGTAATCAAAATGGCATGGTACTGCTACACAAACAGACACACAGATAAATGGAACAGAATTGAAAGCCCAGAAATAAAACCACACATCTACAGACAGCTAAACTTTGACAAAGAAGCTAAGAACATACAATAGAGAAAGGAAAGTCTCTTCAATAAATGGTGCTGGGAAAACTGGACAGCCACACGGAAAAGAATGAAAGTAGACCATTATCTTTCACTGTACACAAAAATTAACTTAAAATGGATCAAAGACTTGAAGGTAAGACCTGAAACCATAAAACTCCTAAAAGAAAATATAGGCAGTACACTTTTCGACATCGGTCTTAGAGAGATCTTTTCAAATTCCATATCTACTTGGACAAGGGAAACAAAAGAAGAAATAAACAAGTGGGACTTCATCAGACTAAAGAGCTTCTGCAAGGCAAAGGAAACCAGGATCAAAACGAAAAGACAATCCACCAGCTGGGAGAAGATATTTGCAAATCATATATCCAACAAGGGGATAATCTCCATAATATATAAAGAACTCACACAACTGAACAACAAAAACACAAACAACTTGATCAAAAAATGGGCAGAGGATGTGAACAGACATTTTTCCAAAGATATACAGATGGCCAATAGGCACATGAAAAGATGTTCAACAACACTAATCATCAGGGAAATGCAAATCAAAACTATACTAACTTACACCCGTTAGAATGGCTATACTCACCAAGACAAAAAATAACAAATGTTGGAGAAGTTGTGGAGAAAATGGAACCCTCATTCACTGCTGGTGGGAATGCAAACTGGTACAGCCTCTATGGAAAAGAGTATGGAGAGTCCTCAAAAAATTAAAAATAGAAATACCATATGACCCAGCTGTCTCACTACTGGGTATTTATCCAAAGAATTTGAAATCAACAATCCAAAGAGACTTCTGAACCCCTATATTCATTGCAGTATTGTTCACTATAGCCAAGATGTGGAAGCAACCCAAGTGTCCATCAACTGAAGAGTGGATAAAGAAGATGTGGTGTATGTATACAATGGAATACCACTCAGCCATAAAAAAAGACAAAATCTTCTCATTCACAACAACATGAGGGGACCTTGAGGGTATGATGTTAAGCAAAATAAGCCAGACAGAGAAAGACAAACACCGTACAATTTCACTCACACATGGAAGATAAACTAACACACGGACAGAAACAACTGTTTGGTGGTTACCAGGGGGAAAGATGTTGGGGGGTTGGCACAAGAGTGAAGGGACGCATTTATATTGTGACTGACAAATAATAATGTACAACAAAAATTTCACGTTATAAACTATTATGACCTCAATAAAAAAAAGTGTAATAACTGGCCCCATGGCTGAGTGGTTAAAGTTCCTTGTGCTCCACTTCAGCAGCCAGGTTCTCAGGTTCTGATCCCTGGCACAGACCTACTCCATTCATCAGCCACGCTGTGGAGGCATCCCACATACGAAATAGAGAAAGATTGGCACAGACGTTAACTCAGGGCCAATCTTCCTCACCAAAAAAAAAAGTATAGAGATCCCAGGGTAACGCACACATTTTTGAGACAGATAGGACAAGAGGATTAAGGGAGTTTTAGAAACATGTATCTAAAAAAGGGTGGGAAGTCAGGATTGTGTTGTCCAGGAAGCCGATGAAAAGCTGACTTGCAGAAAGCCACAAATTAGAAGTGTAGAGAAGATTACCATTGCTCTGTGGTAGACAGGCCTGGAGACTCAGAACATAGCTAGGATGGTTTATAATGGGGCAAGCTGAAAGGCTGGCTGGGGTTCTGCTGCTCTGCAGGAGAGAATGTGGACTTTGACAATTTGGGTTTCAATGGTGATGGAGCCTTATACCCCCAGGATGGTGAGATGTAGAGATCTCAGGTTGGGTGTAAGATGAGTTCTGATAAAGGCCTCTGACAATCCCCCAGCTTCCATATTTTGTGTTCACTCACCATTTCCTTGGATGAACCATTCAAAAAATTGTTCCAGTGACTCTGGTTTCTTAATAAAATTCAAAATCCTATAGAAAAAATAACCAGGCACAAGACTATCTCTGGGATTTCTGATGAGACAAATCACCTTAAAGAGAAAAATGAGATGACAAAAAATCCATATAGTCATTTCCCATCCTTCTTGATCTTCATAAAAATGGTGAAAAAGCCAATTCCTAGAAAATGCTTATTAAATATCAATGAATTCTTTTAATAAATTAGTTGTTGCATTCATTAACCAAATATATTTTTTAGGTTCCTATGAACAATTCACTGGGATAGTACTAAGAATACAACAAAGGAAGAGGAAAGCATTGTCTTCTCCCTCGGATATCACAGTCTACTCACAATGGGAAGCAACAAGAAGGTTTTAAAAGGTGAGTGGTAGTATATTTGTGTACTATAGTTTAAAGATTACTACTGGGAGAATGGATTAACAAACTGCTATATTCATAGATACACAGCAGATGTTCTTATGATATGTCTATTTATATGAAGTTCAAGAACAAACAAACCTAATCTATAGAGTTAGAAGTCAGGGGAGTGGTCACCTCTGCAGGTGGGCATTGACTGGGGAGGCACAGGAAGGAATTTCCTAGGGGAGTGGAAATGTTCTAAAACTGGATCTGGAAGGTAGTTACCTGATTAGCAGACATTTGGTCTGTGCAAAGTGTCCATAAGGTATTTGGTCCATGCCAAAATATCCTTGATATTTTGTCCTGTCTACAACGTCCATAAAACATTGGGTCCACGACAAAAGGTCCTTGATATTTGGTCATATGCAAAGTGTCTGTGGATACATTGGTACTTGGTATTTGGTCATATTTGCTCCTGTCAAATATACATGAAGACATTGGGTTCACACACCAAAAGGACTTTGTTATTTCATCCTGACCAAGACCATTTGGTGTGGACAAACTATGCTCATGAACGTTTTGAACAGGACCAAATGTCCAGGACCTTTTGGCATGGGCTAAGTGTCTTATGGACCAAATATCTTATGTAGGTTTTGGACAGGACAAAATGTCCTGCAAGGAGTTAACCCAGTTGCATACATACGTAAAGATTCAACAAGTTAATACTTAAGACTAGCGCACACATACAGACACATACATGTAAGAACACTTGGCATTTGAACATCTGACTTATACCCTGATTCTGCACCAACTTCCTTTGTGACATTATCCTAGGCCCCAACTCTCTCTAGGCCTCAGTTTCCCCATGCAGGGATTCAACAAACACCAATAAGCACATGTAAATAATTGTATTATAAATAAGCTTGAGAAGTGATAACTTAAAAAAACACTTCATTGTGCTGCTACACATTATGAAATTTCCAAGAGTGGAGAATATTATTCTAAGCTTCACAATGTATTTTAAGCATAAAACATTTTTAAAAATCACAAAGCAATGAGCACCTTCCAGGAAAATATAGTTCTAAAAACGATCTGAGATATGCTAGATCCGGGATACCCATGGTCCCTCCTGGGGATCATCTGTCAGCCCCATGAGAGATTCCTGTGGCTGCTGAGCTCAACAGACAGCTACACATAGGAAGACATAGTGGGTAGAAAAAACAGCAATGATGCTGGAGCAATCTCCCTGGATTTAGGCAGTGATTTATGAATAGGCTGCTTCCCATCTGGGCAAATCTATGTCAAGTGCTTCTACCTAAGTGGCATAAGACATTTATCTAATTAATTTTTAGAGCAACAGAGGGGGGTTATCTAGTATGCAACAGTTAGAAATTCTGGTTGGGTTTAAAACATGGTTTTCTAAGATTCTGGCATTATTGTTTCACTTGGCCTCTGGTTTACATCTGGCTGATATCACCTGTGGAGGGGTCTACACCCTTGTACTCAAGAATGGACTGTGGCATCACCAATGCAGAATCTCAGGCCTACCCCAAACCTACTGGATGAGGCTGCATTTCACCCAGATCTCCAGGGGACTCCCGGGCACGTTAGAGGGTGGAAAGCATTGACCAAACATCTTGACCATTGAGCACTGACCTTGGCCTTGGAACTGAAGAGAGACTTGGGGATGAGTTGGATGGGGAGGTGGGAGCTGATGAGGCGGGGGCCTTCCTTATCCTTCAGTGAATTATAGCCACTCCCAGTCTCTACCCAGGGTGAGCAGTCCCAAATGGGCACAGATTGGATCCACGTGGGATCCCCCTTGGAGGAAATCAGGCAGAGAATTTCAACCAACCAGTGTGTTCCCGGAGAAAGAAGGAAAAATAATGGTCACTCATTTTAATCTGACTTTTTAAAAACTATGATACACATAACATAAATGTACTCTCTCAACCATTTTCAAGTGCACAGTTCAGTAGTGTTAAGTATATTCACATTGTTGTGCAACCATCTTACAAAACTGAAACTCTGTACCCATTCAACAGCTCTCCATTTTCCCCTCCCTCCAGTCCCTGCCAGTCCCTGGAAACCACCATTCTACTCTCTGTTTCAATGAGTTTGATTACCCTAGATACCTCATAGAAGTGGAATCCTGCCATTTTTGTCCTTCTGTGACTGGCTTATTTCACTCAGCATAATGTCCTCACAGTTCACCCATGTTGGAGAGTGTGTCAGAACTCCATTCCTTTTTAAGGCTGAATAATATTCCATCATGTGTAGACAGTACATTTTGTTTATCCATCCATCTGTCACTGGGCATTTGGGTTGCTTCCACCTTTTGGCTATTTGCTTAAATCCTTCAACCTGCTCCCAGTGCCCTTGGCTTTTCACCACCTCGCCACTTCCAATGTCTCCAGCCTCAGTCCCTGCCCAGTTGGCAGACCCTCTACCCCCTCCCCTAATAGAATCGTGATCCTCATCCTTTCAGTCCCTTGAATTTTCCAGGCTCTTTTCCAATTCCCAACCATTATCCATGCTGCTACATTTACCTGAAAATATCCCTTTTCACTAAATAGATTCACATTCATTCTTTCCTCTCAATTTAGATGCTATTTCTTCTCCTTTTTTTTTTTTTTTTTGGCTGTGATAGTTGTGTTTATTAATCCCTCCCCAGTTTTATTGAGGCATAACTGACAAATAAAAATTTATTTAAGGTGTACGATGCGATGACGTGATCTATATATACATTGTGAAATGATGACCACAAACTAACTAACACATCCATCATCTCACATAATTACCTCCTTTTTCCTATTTCTTCTATTAGGACTTCACTGGACATCCTCTATTCACCCATACAAACACCTGACTCTGCCTTAGGATTCACTCCTACGGGTTCCCCTAATACCTCTCTGGACACTCATCTTACTGAGTAACCGCCTGGCTGAAGCCTTTTCTCTGACTGTAAATGGTGTCGGGGAACAGGTCTATTCCCCCAAAGCATCATGCATTACCTGGCATGTAGAAAGCACTCCTTTCATCTACTGAGTGAATGAGGGACATGGCCTCAGCCTGTCCCAGTATCTGATCCTGCTTCCTTATCTGATTTCGGGTAAGTCAGTATTAAGACATCTTCATCCTTTTTTTTATTTTTTTTTATTTTTGTGAGGAAGATCAGCCCTGAGCTAACATCCATGCTAATCCTCCTCTTTTTTTGCTGAGGAAGACCGGCTCTGAGCTAACATCTATTGCCAATCCTCCTCCTCTTTTTTTTCCCCAAAGTCCCAGTAGATAGTTGTATGTCATAGCTGCACATCCTTCTAGATGCTATATGTGGGACGCGGCCTCAGCATGGCCAGAGAAGCGGTGCATCGGTGCGCGCTGGCATCCGAACCCCGGGCCGCCAGTAGCGGAGCACACGCACTTAACCACTAAGCCACGGGGCCGGCCCGACATCTTCATCCTTAAACACAAAAGTCTCCCATACTTCTCTCAAGTGTTCAAGTTTGAAAGACAAGGCAGGGAGAAGTATCCCTTTAAACCACATGTACATGTCTGACATCACAGTGAGCTTTTCATACCCGGTGTTAGTTTCAGTTGTAGCCTCCGTTGGAAGTTGAGGCAGCTGCTGGGAGATCAGCTTTTATAGTAAATATTAAACAATTATTAATCTCTCCCAGTTTGTTGAAGAAGTGCCTGCTGATAAAGAAAAGTAGATATTGTAACTGACAGATGGTCAGTTCCAAGGTTGATGATACGGAGCAACTGTGAAGTCATTCCAAGAACATTTTAGGGTATTCTGAGTTCAATAACAAGCCCAAGGACACAGAAATGTGGGCAAATTTGAAAAATATTTTTCACAACCTTTATTTTTTAGAACAGCTTTAGATGTTTTGGAAAATTGAAAGATAGTAGAGAGAGGTCCCAGAGTCCATATTTATTAGGATTTCCTTAGATTTTCTTGAACGTCCTTTCTCTGTTCCAGGATCCCATCCAGACACCACATCACATTGAGTTGTCATTTCTCCTTAGGCTTCTCTTGGCTGTGACAGTTTCTCAGACTTTGTTTTTGATGATCTTGACAGTTTCGAGGAGGACTGATCAAGTATTTTGGAGAAATCCCTCTATGGGCATCTACTGGATGTTTTTCTCATGATCAGAATGGGCTTATGAGTTTTGGGGAGGAAGATCGTGGAGGTAAACACCATTATCATCACGACATTTCAGGGGAACTTACTGTCCACGTGATGATCACTGTTGATGTTGACTTTGATCACCTGGCTGAGGTAACATTTGTCAGGTTTCTCTACAGTACATCTACTCTCCCCCTTTTCTATGTGGGCATATTTAAACCATGAACTCCAGGTCTGAATGCATTCATGAGTGCACATTGTATAAACTTTATCTGAGAGATGTTCTACAAAATAATCAGCCAGTACTATTCAAATTTTCAAATTGTTATGAAAAACAAAGAAAAGCTGAGGCTACATTCCAGGTAAAAGGAACATGTAAGGGGCAGGCCCGGTGGCATAATGGTTAAGTTCGCATGCTCTGCTTCGGCAGCCCAGGGTTCACCGGTTCGGATCCTGGGTGCGGACCTAGGCACCGCTCATCAAGCCATGCTGAGGCAGCATCCCACGTAGAGCAACTAGGAGGATGTACAACCTTGACATACAACTATCTCCTGGGGCTTTGGGGAGCAAAAAGGAGGAACATTAGCAACAGATGTTAGCTCAGGGCCAATCTTCCTCCAAAAAAAAAGAATATTTCTTGGCTTTAAAAAAAAAAAAAAGAAAAGAAAATGTAAATTAAACCCTGGATTGGATCCTGGACCCCCAAAAATTCTGCCATTATATTATTGTGACAAAAGAAAGAGATAAGAACGAGGTCAGTGTTGATGTGATGGTTACCTTGGCCATCTCAAGGCTGAACTATGGGCAGAAACAGAAAATTACACTTTAACCTTGACTGTCGCCAGATGGCCAGAGAACAATGTGGTGATTTTTCCCTGTGGTTAGGACATTTAGAAAGCCTCGGGCAGAAGACACACTATAGCTGGAAAGGGCCACCAATCAGAACTGGACTCATCCTTAGCCTTGCAAACTCTGTACTTTTTGCATTTAAAAACCAGCCACACCAAGATGGGGGTGGGGAGAGTGGCTCATCTATCAACTTTCAGGTTGAGGCGTACTTCCCAAGTTTGCAAACATTTTAATAGACTCTTTTTCCTTTACAATTTATTTTTGCCTCATAAAGCTGCTCATTTTGGTTAACATTTCTGGTGATGAGGATGTGATGTGAAGTGGCTGCCTGATTGCCTCCTGGGGGTCAGCTGGACACTGCCTGCCATCACAACCCAGAGCCTCTTGACTGTTCCTCCACATTTCCAAAGGCCTCAGGAGGATGATCAAGGTAAGGTCCTCTCAATCCTTGACCTCCCATGCTTTGCTAGAGGTCTAGAGGCTGTTTAAGGAGGGGAATACCTCAATTTCTAAGGAGGGGAATCCCTCATAAGGTTCAGCTGCAGCTGATTTACAGGCAGGTTTCTCCATCCAGGATATGCATCTTTTGTTCTAAAGACTGCTCTAGAGAAACAGCAAATGGCCAGCTGCCTGTCACCACTCCTGTGGCTTTTATGTACAAAAATTATGATTCAAATGGTTGCAAATTCCTTATTACCTGGGTCCAAATCACTAAAGATGATCTAAGATTACATTCGCCACAATGGGGCTCCTTTGATATTTCCAAATTGGTTTATTTGCATCCTCAATTAGAAAAAAGAGGATATCACACCTCTCAAAAACAATGGGAAGCCTACTTTAATTGGCACCTAGAGGCTTCCAAAAAGGGGAAATGAATCCATCATCACTTCTCTGAGAGAGAAGCATTCTAAAGTAGAGAAACTTCAGGAGTGACGTCAACAACATGGCACAGTGAGCTGTTCCCTTTGTCTCTCCCCCTTTCAAACTACAAGTAAATGGACACTCATTGACCAACAGAGGAAGCCTACACAACACAACAGGATGCCTGAGAGACACACACAGCTATACATCTGAGGGTGGATGGACTGACCCTCTGGGAAGTGGTGAGCACTCCCTACTGCCTCCCACAGCCCTGTGCACACACAGGATCACTTTCCAGCCTGGTGAGAGTGCCCTGCAAGTGGGAACAGAAAGTGCCTCTGGGCAACTGTGGGAAGAGACAGCAGTAACACTTAGCCCACTTGTGATTGCTCTCCTGGTGAGGGAGGGAGCCCACTGTGCTTCTGTGGCCCCAAGGACTGGCCCTCGCTGCATCCACATGAGAAGCTCCACCTACCAAGCATAGCAGCCTGGGGGACTGCAAGTAGAGTCTGTGGCAGAACTAAAATGCACTAGCAATAAACAAAAAAATTAAAAAAAAAAAAAAAAGAACTAAATGCACTGGGGCAAGCATTGCCAGGCCCTTGCCAGTGCACATAGTACTGCTGAGCCCTGAGAAAGGGAGTGCACCCCGGGGGGACTGCAGGAAGAGGTGGTGGCCACCCTTAACCCATTCGTGATCACTTTCCGGGTGAGGGAGGGAGCCCATTGTGCCCCTGCAACCCCAAGGAGTGGCCCTAGCTGAGTCCCACACGAGGAAGCCCTGCCCAACAAGCACAGTCCACACAAGTGCCTGAACACTGTCCAGGCTGGTGCAAGCACCCACAGTACCAGCACAACTTCCAGCAGTCAGGGTGGGACCAGAAACTCTGCTCTGCTCCCCCAGCACTAACAGGTGGAATCTGTGACCTAATACTACCACAAAGGTCCCAACAAAAGATTAGTTCATTGAACATCATTA